TGTTAAATGTCGGTTAGGCATGCGCTGTTTACTGCGGGCCGCTTTTCACACTTTTTGTAGCCGAACGGGGTGACAAACGAAACGCACGCAGGAGATAATTTACAGTCTTGAAGCAAGCGCAGTGAGCTAGCCCGCATAGGTGTGTGATGTTGATTCGGTTAACTCCAAGAGCTTGGATCTTTGGGATATGTAGCAGGTGTCAACGGCGGCAGGGGCGACCCGCTACAATGTCGTGTAGAGTTGGAAGCCATCATCAGAGATTTAACGTGACGATTAGATAGGCCTGTCGCACAATGGAACAAGTTTGCGGTCTGATGTGATAAAACCAGTCGTGGCACCCTGTAGGGATGTTTCTAATTCGATGACGGAAAGTAATTTTCGATACAATTCAATCTAACCGGATTATGTTGTCCGCTTAGATTTGAATGGAATCAGGACGAATGAACAAAATTAGTTTCTAGTGTTTACCTTGATCTCGGCACATATGTCCATCGTTAGACGATGATGTTCTTTTTGGAGGGCTTCTTGTTTATTATCTCTGGATCATTTGGATGCTAATCACGGTATTACCAAGCTGGAGGCAGCGGGTTCAAATCCGGTCCGGTCTAGAACATTTTTAGGGTTGGAAATGTCCTCGACTTCCCTGGGGATAAAGTATCATTGTACATGCCACACAATAAACAAATTCATGCATTGGTTGGCGTAGCAAGCTCTTAATTAATAACTGAGGAAGTGCTTCAAAGAACACTAAGTTGAGCGTAGGCGAAAGCTCGTGTAAGAGCGTCAAAGGCAGAAAGAAGAAGAATAACATATGTTCGTTCCCTCATCCGCTTTAAACATTTACTGGGCCTCACAGGGGACATACAGACTCTGAAGATCAATCTGAGAATTATTTGATTCCTTCGTCGAAAGTCGTTCTAACTTTTAAGACATGCGTCATCGAACAATTACGGACTGATTAGTGATTAGGGCCGAGATCAATTGCCGATTTCTTACGAGTAAAAACTCAATCTCGCAAACAAACTATAGGAATGATTCCTATACCATTTGGTACAATTTTTTTGCGAGATTGAGCTTTTATCCGTGAGAAATTGGCGATCGATCTGTGTGTTTACAAAAGCATGTACATACGCCCTAATCACGAATCAGTCCAAAATTATGCAACTTGTCAAATGACTTCAGCTTCATGTGATCCAGTTGCTTCGCATTAACTTTCGACAAATTTATCATTGACCTGAAAGTAGCCAGAAAGTGGAAATTACACAATTCAGATATCTAGACAAACAATTGGAAAGGACAATCGACAATTCCCAGCATTCCCGCGCAACGTCTGATTGAGAAAACTGCCTCTACCAGATGCTTCTGATGGATTTCCTAAATGAGTCTTAATCCACAAGAAAATTTTCTAATTTCCCATCATATTTTTTTTTTATATCCATGAAAATTCTTGAGAAAAACCAAGACTGACTTCTAGTGACATTTCCAAGGGAATTTTGAGTGAATCTCGGGAGAAACAGTACTTACAAGATCAATAACGGCGCCGACCACGTCCTTACGGTCATTGAGGAAGGGAGAGATGATTTGTTTAACATCGGTTGTTACTAGAGGCCGAATATACCTCTGCATCTACATCAGGGCTGGTAGTGCTAATGCGATATGATAGGAGTGACTTTACTGACTAAAATTACGAAAATAGTGACCAAATACTGACTTATAAATAATAAATATAGGAACTCAGAAATTCAAATACGGTTTGATATTGAAATAAATTCCATTTTTTGTCATGGAACCCAAATTGTATTCCATAAATTCCTCTAATTATATCGATTTGAATACTTTTCTTTTGATTCCATTTTACATGATGACCAGAAAATATCAATTTTAAACATTTTTGGGGTTGCCTGGAGTTTTGTAAATTTTACTGGTTGTGCGACATACTTTTAAACTAATTTATAAACCAATGAAACCACTAGGTTTAATAGGATTAACTAAAACTGCAGTATTTTTCGTAAATTTTGAATTTATTTCTGCGTTCGAAATCTTAAAAAATACTATGTATCTAGGTAAGTTAACCTGGATTATTCGCCAGAAATTCATCGCAATGTTCTCAAGCCCTGTTTTTAGAATCATTACTTTACTTGTAGTCTCCTTATAATTCGCATGCAATTAACCTAGGAAATGTCTTAAATTTGTGTTCTGAATGATCTTAGATCCTGATATCGTATTCTCTTTAGAGTTTTCATGGTATTTCTTCAGAATTCTCAACAACAAAATCCATCTCAGAATACCCTTGAAACTCTTCTCACAGTTCCATTTTGATTCTATTGGAATTGTTCTTGAAATTTGATTCGAATTCTTCAGGATTTTCTTGGAATCAACCTCAGAAATCGCCTTACAATGCACCTGGAGCTCGGCTCTCAATTATCTTGGAATTCTTCCAAAAATTGTTTTGGAGTTGAATTTTGCGTTTCTAATAAAGTAATATCAAAAGTAAAGCTCGTATGTGTCAGTCTCAGGGCTGATTTTTTCACCTCCGCTTAAGCCTTAAAACAGTTTTAAGATTTAAGCCGAGGTGAACAAATCGACCCTAAGAGCACCTAAATTTACAAGAGACTTTCGTAGTGTGTAGTTTTGCATCCTTCTCTGAAATATCTTGGTATCATCCGTAGAATTCCTTTGATATTCATTTCAAATTTCCTTTGGAAGTGTCATTGATATTTCTAGATAATTCATTAAAGACTTCTAAAAATCTAAAAGGTGCAGACTTTATTTCCGAAAAAAAGGAAGTTTATTTTTCCCGATTTGTCCTCGAAATTCAACACTATTCCATGTTTGTTTCGCGGTGTTTTAAAATTCCTTTAAATTGTCCGGTTATAATTGTATATTTTTTCACAGATATGCACACCCTATTGGATTGGAAAAAGTGAGTTTAGTGACTATTTTTAGGAAAATAGTGACTTTAGTGACTTTTTTGTGTAAAAAGTGAATTTTTAGTGACTGACTTAAAAATAGTGACCAAGCCACTAAAAAGTGACCAGCTATCAGCACTGCTACATGGTTGTCACGGGAATGACGTTTTTGTTAACCTGGATTCTCTTTGGAAAGTAAGCCCACATTACAACAAACCATTGCAACAGACGATCGAAGTCTTCGAAAGCAGTTATTAATGTTTTCAAACCCGGATTGTGCATACGTCACATTTAACTATACACATTAATATTTCCGTAGCATTAAAGACTTTTATACTTTAGAAGGACCATGGGATTGACCACAATACCTTCAGAGTCTTAAGATTCCTCTGTCAAAAATCTGTCCTTGAATCAATTTCAAAGTTCAAGCGCTCTTTTTTCCGAAATTCAACCTTATAGTATAATATTCCTAGCTTTCGAAACATCAGTAGGCAAAAACGATCGCCACTACGCCACCGGGATCCTAAAATTAAAAAAGACGTTCGATCAAGCCAAGCGATTTGAAGCTATTCAAATGTTCGATCGCGATCAATTCCACTGGGTAAAAGGGAACTAACAATAATGATAATAAATGTACAGTGCATCCAGAAACTGTCCATGCACCAGTACGAACAAATCCCCGAAACTGTTGATAGTAACACCTCCTATCCTTCGACAATGCACCCCTCTAACCTCGGATAAGCCGCGAGTATTCGGCCCAACTCCTACTAGACATAGAATGAAGTGAATTTTGATACAAACAAAGAACAATGAATTATCGGCTCCGTAAAGCTAACGCAATTGAGCCTTTTAAATAAAAAAAAAACTGAATAAAAAAGCAGACCACACATCGGTGCAGTTCCGGGCCCGACTGGCCTAGCTTCTAATTAATCTCAGCAAAATGCTTATGTTGAGATTTTTCCGCAGTGAACGGATATTAGTCAAATAAGCGATATAAGGGGAATGGCTCTAATGTTGGTCTATGGATCTAAGATTAGGCCCATCGCTAAAAATCTGCTATTTATCAATTTTATCTAGATGAACGCGTCATTGGGACGGAACTAATGAATATTTTTGGTCGCTATTGAAAATTTAGTCGATTGCTAAATTTATGTATGGGCCCAAATTAGGGGCATTTAGGCCGACATTACATCCATTTCCCCTACAACGATTTTTGTTATGAATATAAAGAAGCAACATTTTAAAGAATTTGTTATAGCAAAATTGAACTCAGATTAATCTACATTGTGGAAATCTCAGGAAGTTCCAACCTGTGATACAAATTCTACCCAACCTTAACACCATACCATTTTATTGATAATGAAATGAACACTCTTCAAAGTAAATCAACACTCGGAATCACACACTTTGTTTCCACCCATCTCATCCGAGCTCAACTAGGCGGATCAAACAGCACTACACGCCCGCCGTAAACATGTACCTGCCAGGCCTTTATCTGATACATCCACCGTGCATTGTTTGCTCGAACCGTCCAACCTCGTCCGACCGCTTGTGTGACTTTGCCCATTACCACTTTGCGGAACTCTGACTGACAGAGCCAACTTAAACGACGATGAGCATCTATCGAAGCCCGGTATGTACACATCAACCCACGCGCTTCATGTAACTCCACCCGCAATCCCTTCGATACTGCTGTAAACCATTGCCCTAGGCTGTACAGCTACAGCTAGATAGCAATCGCTAGAAAACGAAAAACGACACACAGATACAGAAAAGGTAGTTCAAACAAACACCATAAGGTATTAGCGCCAGCGGGGAAAAAAAAACAGTACGACTCAATTATCCGAACCGAATTGGCCCACGACGGATCGAATCTTCGGGGGCGCTCGAAAGCTGAGTTCGTCCATCGCCCACCGTCAATAGCAGAACAATTATTGTTTGCCATTTCGCTCATTTGTTGCCGCAGCGGCAAGTGGGATTTGGATTTCAATCAACATCGCCGTCGCGTCAGTCAGTCAGTCAGGTTAAGGTAGTCAATGTTGGATTGAATTGGGATTGGGAATTGGGACTAGCGCGAGTTGCGCCACCTACCTTGCAGCATAGATCTGTATGCGGTGTCTGTGATGGCGAATACATGTGGCGGTACCTCGTGCCGCTTGATGCCTTTATACTTTTCCATGATCTTCTCGGTGTAGATGGGCAGCTTTTTGTACGGGTTGACCACCACGCAGAACAGGCCGGAGTATGTCTGCAAATAAAGAAAAGAAACGGAACGGAGAAGCAATGAGTGAAAAATAGATAATTAGAAGGTACAGGGGTGTGAGTGTGGGTCGTGGTGATCATGTGTTGTGAGGTAAGGAAGCTGTTTCATTGATTTTTGCTTTATTTTCGGAGAAGGCAGGAACAGAACTGCGCGCGGTAATTGAAGATTGAGGGGCGCGAATGTGCAGATTTTTCCACGGTGTAATCAAGGCACATGAAGGTAATGCATGATTCGGTGCAAATTGGATGATCGATTGTCAAACTGTAATTTTTTGGAGGTGACTTTGAATCTGTGAAAGTTTGGTTTTACTGTAATGGTACGGTCAAATTCAATTTTTTGATTCTAAAATGCTTCGAATCCAAAGGGTTTCAGTTTCATCTCTTATCTGCGCTAGCAGATGCATATAAGTAGATCCAGTTTTCGCTTGTTCAGTTATACTAATCAATCGCTTCCGTGCGCGTCTAGTCAAACATTACATTGAGAGCGGTTACTCGTGCTAAGCTCTTATCAACTTTGTTTGTCGATCAAGATGGGATCGTTATTGACCAAAACAAACCCATCTAATTGCATTGGAATCGAAACATTTCCCTTGATGTTCAGCTCTTTATTTCTGACCCAAATGGCCGCCGCCGCTCCGTGCCAATTGGAAGGTTCAACAGAAAGGCGTAATTAATTTAAATGGACATTTTGTTATTATTTTATTCTCTTTTTCAGGTTGTTTTTTGTTTTCATTCATGCCTCTATACCCCTCGCAACTTCAAGCGAGCCAGGGAATGCTTTTGCTTGGTTCGAATGTCTGCCTCTCTATATATGCATGCAATTACCAACCACCGCATCTTCTGGTGAACAACAACAACAACAACGTAACGCAGCAACGGTAGCAATTTACACCCTTGGACCGTAGATTATTATAATAAAGGAGTGAGAAGGAGGCACAGTAATAAACATGGAAAAAGATAGTCACAAACGTTAAGTCAAGGAGGTGGAGGCGTGGAGGAATCGTCGAGTGCGTACGGCATCAGTAATGTTACAGACTGCATTTCAGCGAACGGTGGACAGAAGATCGTTGTCAGTTCGTAAACAGACAGAGTATGATAGAGGGTATGCAGAATAGTAGTAAAAATTGTGAGCTATTAACGGATGAAGAAATTCAAATTGGGAACGCGTACAAGGCTGCGAAGAAAACCGGAGAACGTAAGATTCTGACACAATTTTTTACAAAAGATTTAAAGAATCTCCACATACACAGATTTTCAAAAAATAATATAAATTACGTGACTTCGGTGTGTGTCTTCCGCACGTTAAGGGATCATTTCGACTCAAGCAAGACTCATATTTCAAAAGATGAAATACAAATATACATTCTTCAAAAATTAAAATAGGCTCAAAAACCGTTGATTGCATCCAGTCTTGTAAGCGGTCACGGTAGTCGAAACATTTTCTGTGATAATTGACTGCCTTTGCCTCCGACACTTGCAAAACAAGCTATCATAGTACAGTACCAAACTAAAATGTCATATGACAGGCTCTGTCATACGACACGGTCGCCGAAGACCGTCACGTATGTATGTATTTTAGTTTTTCTCATATTAAGAGCTGCTGATGTTGTACTTGTGTGAATTCTGAAAATAGCAAGTAATGATGTCCTAGTAATAATATTTCTGATCAGAAATGGTTTGATTTACACCAAATTAAGAAATTACAACGAAATCACACATGTCATATGATAGCTATTTTGATAATTTTCTTTTAGCTCGAATGTTATTCTACCGCTCGTGTTGCGTGAGAGAGACGACGGTAGAGCATGAGTGTTCGAATACAAACAGACTGTCACGCACGACAACGAAGCGGGTGTAGTAAAAAACGTCAACTGTTTCAACCCCTGATTGCATCGCACTATCGTCTGAGAAGAAGTTATGGAGAATCATATGAGCTTTGTACTAGGAATACCATAAACGGGGTCAATTTGATCAGCGGAACGTGTATGATCACTGGTATGTCTTATTATATGTCTTCAAGTTCAATATGTTTTTTTTTTGTTTCAGGGCGTCAAGTTCTTTCGACATACAAATTATTATATCAAAACAAAATCAGAACCCTCAGTGATCAAATTCAACCCCATTTTACGGCGGCACGCACAAACAAAATGGGGAGCCAGAGATCCCTCCAATTTTTAATCTGGCCATGGTGGTCATTATCAGGATCTTCCTGGTTATGGAGATTGTGTTTTCTGATGAAACATGAATGCCATACGACACATAAAGTCAGGCTATTTTTCAAAGGCTAGTACGATGGAGTCCCAAAAATCTCTTCAAAATGTAGCCTGGGATGGATTACCTGGAAACCGCTTCTGAAAAGCACATTTTCTCTCTGATTGGACATGAGCATGCGAGCACACATCAATTCAGGCTAATTTTAAGAGATCCAGAGTAATGTCCTAGATTGCAAGCAGTGTCCGGCCATTTGACTGAATGGGTCATTTGGTCGAATACTTGAGACGAATTCATACATTTTCGAACAATCGAGAATTCTAAATTTAAACATGAACCATTTTTTGTGATTTTTTTGATTATAATAAAAAAATTTTAAAAAATTATTGATTATTTGATTTTACACTTGTGATGTTTTAAAAGCTTCTGAACTAGTGCAATGCGTAACAATTGAAAATGTTTATTTGGATTAGTTGAATGCTATTTCAAATTTGATTTATTCTTTTTAATCAAAACATTTACATGATTTCTGAAGCTTATAATATTTATCAACATGGTATTGCCTATGGTACTGTGGAATGGGAATGGAAGCCTTTCTTCGTGACACTCACGAGATGTCGAAACAACGTGGGGAAGCTTACCGGCCCGAAAATAAAAAAATATTTTCGGTACATTTTTATTTCTTTAAAAATATTGGGAAAAAATATCAAAAATCAAAGAAAATCAGTTTGTTCCTTAGATTTTTGTCAAAAATTACATGTAAATTTTTTTTTTCTATCTCATCATGAAAAAAAAATTGGCCTCTCAGCAAAACCGAAAAGTCGATGTTTTGTGGTTTTTTGAGTCCAACTTTATGCCATAATGACTTATAAAAAATGTTTTTTGAACGTGAATTTTCTTTGAAAAATAAAAAAATATGTGATTTTCTTAAAATTTTGATATCTTTTTCCAATATTTTTAGAAAAATCAAAGCGTAATTATTTTTTTCTGAGCGGTGAGCTTCCCCTTAATACTTTTAGGAGACTTTTTCTTCCTAATCATGGGAAGTTCTTTTGAATTCTACTACCCTCGTTATTTTTGACAGTACGAAATTTTGAAAAATATATGAGAAAATTGAGATTTTGAAAGTATGAAGACAAAATAGGGTTCGATCATTTTAAGAGATTTTTCCTTATTTAGCAGTTCTACTGTTTTACTGTTCCCAATATGTTAGGAGCCAGTTATGAAACTTGTCACGGAATTTGGTAATTTGCAGTGGCGTCGCCCTAACCTCAATCTACCTGTTCAACAACTCCCAAAACGTAAACAAACAAAACAAGGTTGGTTCCAATGGATACAAATCAGTGAAACTAGAAGACCCCATGCCTTTTGAAACTGAATTGAATGTAAACATGACCCTAAATAACGTTTTCAAAGATGTTGAACAGGTAAAAGTGAGGTTACGCGACGCCACTGTAATCTCTAATTTGTAATCTCGATTGATCCATTTTTACGTCACGACCCAACATTATTTCTTATATCACAGTTCCAAGTGTTTAAAAAAAGAAATGCTGCGCTACAGGATCAGTTTCACAGAATGACATCTTTAACTGATGTTCCGGACCTGCCATAGGACGGCCCCATGGCCATACGGGTCCATATTTATGTCATGACCTCAAATTCTTTCTTATAATTATCACAGTTCCAAATGCTTTCGAAAAAAAAAACCGTGATTTTCCAGATTTTTCGGAGGACGGTCCCATGGCCTTCTAGGTACATGTTTATGTTACGACTCCAAATTCTTTCTTATATCACAGTTCCACGTGTTTTCGAAAAAAAAAACTGTGGAGCTCTAGGAGCAATTTCATGGAGTGACCACTTAACGGATGTTTCGGATCTTCCGGAGGATGGTCCTATGGCCATCTGGGTTCATGTTTATGTGATGACCCCAAATATCGCAGCTCCAAGCGTTTTCGAAAAAAAACCCGAAGCTCTAGGATCAGTTTCATCGATTGACCACTTTTACGGATGCTCCGGATTTTTCGGAGGATGGTCCCATGGCCATCCGTGTATATGTTTATGTCCCGATCCAATTATTTTTCTTAAATCACAGTTCAGCGTGTTTTCGAGGAAACTGCGGAGCTCAAGGATCAGTTTCATGGATGGACCACTTTTATGGATGTTTCGGATCTGCCGGAGGACGGTTTGATGGCCATGCAGGACCATGTTTGTGTCACGACCTTAAATTCTTTCTTATATCACAGTTCGAAGTGTTTTCGTAAAAACCACGGAGCTCTAGCATCAGTTGACCACTTGACCACTTTACGGATGTTCCGGATCTTCCGGAGCATGAGCTCATCCGGATCAATTTTTATGTCACGTCTCCAACTTCTGTCTTATATCACAGTTCCTCGTGTTTTCGAAAAAAAAAACTGTGTAGCTCTAGGATCAGTTTCATGGATGGACCATTTTTACAGATGTTTCGGATTTTCCGGAGGACGGCCTCATGACAATCCGGCACCATGTCATGACCCCAAATTCTGTCTTATATCACAGTTCCTCGCGATATCAAAAAAAAATAGCGGAGCTCTATGATCAGTTTCATGGATTGACCACTTTTACGGATGATCCGGATCTTCCGGAGGACGGTCCCATCCAAGTCCATGTTTATGGCATGACCCCATTTTTTCCTTATATCACAGTTCCACGTGTTTTCGAGAGAACTGCGGAGCTCTAGGATTAGTTTCATAGATGGATCACTTGTATGGATGTTTCGAATCTGCCGGAGGACGGTTT